ACTTTCAACACATAATTTTTAGTTCTGTTTTCATATAAACGTAAAAAAACCTCAAATAATTAAATAAAATTATCGAATATTGCCATTAAGGTTCAATGTTGCCACTTTTCCGCATTTGTGATTATCCTACATTAATGGGAGACTATATAATTAATGTAGTAAGTTAATTTATTACCTCTGATTTACCTACTTATTTTATATAAATAATTTTATATTAATTATAATTTAATATAAATTTTATTACAATAAAAATCCTTATAACAATATGTTTTATTTCATCATTATGTTTACTTCTATTCATCTGATAAGCTTTGTATCCTTTTTTCTAAGGGAACGCAATAAAGATTTTAAAATAAAATATATATTTTTAGTATAAAAACAATTAACTGCAGCTTAAAAAAACTCATTTTATTGTGTATTTTAGGTAAAATTTCATATAGTAAGCCACACCAACCCGCCATTGCATGTTTGTCTATCTTTATTTAATCTTAGCGACGATATTGCTTTCGCAACTTGTGTAAGTGAGATAGATATATCTTTATTTAAAATTGTTATTAGTTTAAAAGCTACGTCGTCGCGTTTGGATAGTGGCTACACTTTTTTCGACGCGTGGTAATGTGGTTTGCTCCTCTAGTGTTGTATAACTCAATGATCTAAGTATAATAAAAGCTGTCTATATATGTGTGTCAAAATATATAACAAAATTCCTCAGCATAATAAAGCACTTTCTTTACCAAGATTAAAAAAAACCTCAATGAGTTTCTTGCAGAAAGTACCTTTTATAGCGTCAAAGAATTTCTAGGTTGTAAATTTAACGAATGAACCACTGTAATTTCACTAAGTATTGGGATTTTATTCTATTTAAAAATAATTACTAATTATCTGACATTTTTCTGCTATTACGCCATTAGCTTTTGATAAAAAATATTGAAGCCCGAACGTAATATATATCTTAATAAGTAAATTGCAATTTGCGTAAATTTTGGTAATAGTTTGATACAATTTATGACAATATAGTAACATGTTGTACTATGTATTCATCCGAAAATATAAATCATCTCCTATTTTAATAATGGTGAAATATGAAAAAAACTGATCTTTTTGACAGAATTTTTGACATTAAAATTCATTAATTTTTTTAACGATTTTTTGACTTTTTAGATATTTGACATTTATATATGTATAAACATCGTAGACAGAGTACGATAAACATTTACCCCCATTATAATAAAAAATTTGATATGTAATATTTATTGTAATCTAACTACTTGACGCTAAAATATTTTTGAATAGGTACATAATTCATTTTCTTCAATAAGTTACTTCACTAAATTGTATTAATAATTTTTTGTGTTCATTGTAAAAGATTGCACGCCATTATCATGGTAGAATGTAAGGTCTCGTTAATAACTAATAACATCATATTATGTACTACATTCTAGCAATAAATAAATTTGAATTTGAATTTGTCTAGAAGCAAGAGATAATAAAATAATAGGTTGCCGTTCTGCAGTACCTGCCATTTCAAATTAAAATAATTTTTATTTGACTGATGATTGAGTTCTAATTTCAAATTATTTTTATTTTAAAAATATGCAATTATTTTTTCAAAATTAGTCATTTGTTTATTGATTAGCGTTATGTTTTCATAGCATTTATATATTTTTATAGATAAGTAAAAAAAAATCGAAAAATTATGGAATATGAGTACCGTCGTAGCAGCAACGTGGCACAAGCGGCACTCAACATCAACGACGTTTATGGGGCGAATACTACAAATAAACGCACCACCTGTTATTGATTTGCCCGCTTCCGTTCTGGAAATTTCGACTTAAAGGACGACTAAAGGCAAATTAAAGGCGATTGTTGAAGCTGATGATAATCAATCTACGGCTGAATTAGAAGCAGATTTCGACGTTAGCATCAAAACAACATTGGTCAATTTACATCAAATTGGCAAGGTAAAAAAGCTTGACAAATGGATGCCCCACGAACTCAATGATCACAAGCGCGAAATACGCGTCAAGATGTGCCTTACACTGCTCAACATACACACAAATGAAGGAATTTTGAACCGAATTGTTATTTACGACGAAAAATGGATACTGTAATCGCAAGTGTTTAGTAAGTTGGTTAGATCCTGGTTCATCACCTAAACAATGCCCTAAACGAAAACTTACCCCTAGAAAAGTGATGGTCACTATTTAGTGATCTAGCGTCGGTGTGACTCATCACAGCTTCTTAACAAACGGGATTAGCATTACTGCAGACGTGTACTGTGAAGAAGTTAACACAATGATGGGGAAGCTTGCAAGTCTCCGACCAGCTTGGATCAATCCTGCACGATAACGCGCGACCTCATACTGCACAATAGACAGTCTCCAACTTACAAGAGCTAGGATTGGAAGCTCTTCGTTATCCACCATATTAACCAGATCTTGCGTCTACAGACAAATCAATAACAGAGGGACAGTACTCTCGTCCAGCTGATTTATTCAAGAAGAGCATTAATAAACTACCAATATTCATCGAATGCATGGGTTATTACTTTGATTAATAGAAGTAAAAAATATAGACAAAAAAATTACATTAACATATTTTACAGAAAACGGCAATTTCATACGTTAATACGTTAAGTTAAATAAAATATGGTAGGCGTAATATATAACATAGCTGTATACTCAACTAACTGCCAGGTTCAGCCGTCTGTTGCGAACAGCGGACTTAGTCCGCCGCACCAAGGCCGCCGTCCGGAGCGGACAGAATCGACCGTGTGTTAGTACTATAGCCAAATCTAAATAAGTACCTAACTATCGAAAATAGGAAAATCCTGTATTATCAATATTAATATCTGTTAAATCCTTGCTTGATTTTCAAATCCGGCCATCTCCTACAAAAGTACTATTTTTTACTATTTTATGCAGTAGAATGTAATATTATTACGTATTTTATATTTTTATGTAAAAATATGCCGAAACAAAAATATCTACTGGATTTTCTATTTTTGACTAAGCATAGTCTTGTTATATAACAACAATAAAAATTAAAAATATTAAGATGAGAAAAAATTAATAAGTTTTTATAATTGTTAAAAGATAAATGTTGAAACTTACAACAATGTCGACAAAAGAGTTTTTGGCAGAAAGTCAGGAACTTGACCGCCGGCTTATAGCTGGTCGTTGTTGTCTAAATAACGACCAGCTATATGCCGTTTATCGTTCTTAAAAAAAAAAACACGTTTCCTCCACACAAGGATTTTCTCCTGTATCGTGGAGACAGTTTACATACATAAATTTCACTAGGACAAACATCCAGACTCTGAACAGTATCTGCAGGCCATACAACTTGTTCCGTGCGGGATTAGAACCCGCGGCCCTTAGCGCTGCAACTCATTCTGGAGCCATCATAACGGTTCGTAGTGGGTTTTGTAAGCCTAAAATTGGTGCGATTTTTTATATTAAATATCTGCGCATTTGAAACCATAATGGTAACGATGAAATAAGCCCTTCGATGTTACTTCAAGTTTTAGCGTCTGTTTAGGTGCCTTGAGATACGTCATTGACTGTCTGCTGTCTCAAGCAGCGCTCAGAAACTTCCAAAAACTTCACTATGTGATGCATCAAAATATTGTGAAGAAGAAAAAATGTATTTGTTAGCATAATTTATCAGTACTTGACACAGGCAAAAATACAACAGTACCAAGTCGATTACCGAAAAAAAAACTCTACATTTTGAATATGAATTTACAATAAATTAAAAAAAAATCTGCTGAATCGAATCTTAAATTTCCCGCGAATTTTGTCAGCATTAATTGCTTGTTTATATAGTTAACAGTTATTAATATGTATGGTTTAATAAATTCTAATTTCAACAGAACTTACAATCCCAGTGGAAGACATAACGCTCTGTCGGATATAAAAAGGTTACTAACTTCTAGAGATGTTGATACTCAAAACAAAGCTTGTGGCTATTTAATAGAAGTCTTAAGCAGATATAAAGAAAATTCAAATGAAAGGGCACGTGTGGTCGAATATTTGTTGGACAATGATGTTATAGTTTTTCTTTGTGAAGCTACGTCTAACTTAGATTTTTCTTTATTTAGGTGCGTAAATATTTTACAATAATAAGTTTTTTCTCTTTTAAATAACCTGTACTGTTATAATAATTTGTGTATTATTTTTTGAATAATATGTGTAATTCGTAAGCAGAAATGATGATAATGATTTCTTAAATTTACGCGAACACTACACATTGAATAAAACTAAATTTACGGATTTTATCGCGTTTATTTCATTACTTTTACTTATTTTTAATTCCCGACGTTTCGGGTGCTTTACAGCACCCATGGTCACGGGGGGACTGAGATGTTTGACGTCCCAATGTCATAGTTAGTCCGGCTACCTTCATATAATATTCAAAAACTGAACGTAGCCGGACTAACTATGATTGGGACGTCAAACATCTCAGTACAGCACCCATGGTCACGGGGGGGCCGTGACCATGGGTGCTGTAAAGCACCCGAAACGTCGGGAATTAAAAATAAGTAAAAGTAATGAAATAAACGCGATAAAATCCGTAAATTTAGTTTTATTCAAAGAAATGATGATGCCTATAGGTAGCAGACACTTGCTAGAAGGACATTTTTATGTAGCGACCGACGGTCGTACTTCCGTCTCGCAGACTTCAGTCCTACCATAGATTACCTTTATATAATATATAGATATATATACAGTCGTACTCGTTCTCATACGCGACAGGTTCGATACTGAATTGATTGGCAGAGCAGTCCGTAGTCCGGACGACAAAGTCATGTCGAAGTTTCAGTAAAAACTTCATAGAACCTTATGAAATCGGACTTAGCGTGAGTGTTGATCAAAGAGTATAAGAACTGTCCTAAACGGGACGTATTATGTTTGCGATACTCCGAACAAACGACCGAGCTAATCAATCTGTGTCAATCTGCTAATTGACGTAGTATCAGTATTGGGCAGTACGTCAGTATGTCAAATATGAAAGAAATATTTGAAAAGATTTTTACCGAGTTCTGTATCAAAGACATTCGTGTTTGTATCAGCAAAGAAATATTAGGTAACAGCAGAGTTCGGTAATTTTATATGTACTCTCGCGGTCACCTCGTTTTTTGGCTCTAAAAAAATCGAAAAATCATCCGATTTCGATGAATTTTTTTTAAATCTTTGTCTTTACGGCGGATTTTCGGAAAACATTAGGAAAATAAATCACCTAAAGATTTCATATAGTTTTATAACTTTAAATGTGATCATAAACGCACTTCTTTGAATATAATCGTTCATAACTTTTTTGCAAAGCGTTAAACGAAGTTTGTATACTTTTATTGTTAATCTACACAAAAAAATAAACGTTTTAAAAAAGGCATTGAAAAATATTTGTTTATTAATTTTTTTTTCTCACTTTAAGTTTTTGACTTTAAATGTTATCATAAACGCTCTAGAAAATCGAAAAATCATCCGATTTCGACGAGTTTTTTTTTAAATCTTTGTTTTTACGGAAAATACGAAAATGAAAAGAATTACCTATGTACTATATTCAAAAAATTTTGTTAAACTGCTTATGTCTTATTTTATGCTGTATCTACAGAAAAGTAATTTAAGTAATATATAGGTATTTTTAGGTCTATTCTGACATGTACGCGACTGCTTTGGCGTGGAAGGCGCTTCTTCGAGGAAGAACACGCCGCGCACGCAATGTCGGCGGTTCTTAGAGTCCTGGCTCACTACGCCGCTATCAATTCTAATGCAGCTGTTGATGTCTGCTTGCATTTCCTATGCGATCTGATTAATGGGTAAGGGCCTCAAGATTTAACTACATACAGTTATCCCTTGAAAATTGCTGTACGGTGGCGGCTGAAGAGAATCACCCCATTTCACCCCGTGGGTGTCGTAAAAGGTAACTATGGGTATAGGATATTCTAAAAAGAATTTGTAGCTATCAATAGATGGCGGTATAACTATCTTGTTTACATTAGACGTAAAATATCAAGACCGGCGATGGTGAGCAGCGTCAGAGACGTGAGACGACTAATGCTGCGATTTTCAATCTGTTTGCCAAGCGTGACGATTAAAACAAATGCTCTCTATCTATGACAGGAGAGGATCAACCACCAGGGGATTTTTATGAGCTGATAATGAGCAGTGATACCTTGGAAAAGTTTAAGTAACTTGCCCGGCGCCGCTGTAATGGCTAGCTGAAATGAAATGAACTTAAATCCCATCTGATGTTAAACTTCTACAGACAATGAATATCTGCAATCTTCTTCTAATAAAGAAGGCTAGGTGCGTAATGTATTCTGTAAGGTACTATACGATGTAATGCCTCACAGTATGTAATTACATTTACATTGTGTCTCTATACCCTACAACACAGCAGTTTACGTACTGCAGGTTCGCGACAGAAATAGGTCGAGGTACCTACCCAGATAGATTCCTAGGCCGCTGGAGCTCTCGCACCTCGTAAATATATAATTATTTAAATCCTAGAAATGTAAATAGGCAGACGATTTTATGACAATACGTGTCAGTACTATATTATATAAATTAAAATGTATGCACACCATAAGTGTGCATACATTTTAATTTATATAATATAAGTACTTAATATTGTTTTCACCAAAAAAGAAAGAATTTTTATCTAGTTTAAAATTACCGGTAGTGTCGGATTGCTGTTCTATCGGAATATGGAAGTGAGGGAATAGATTGTGCACCTGTGCTTGCGCTACACTGGGCAATCTTTACGTAATCCTGTCTTGCGCACATGGTGAGTCTCTGTGGAGATTAGCCGCCGCGCAGTGACCGAAATTCAGTCTGGAAGACGTTATGTGATTGTTGGACTAGCTTTCTTTTTAGATGGATGGTTTTAAACATGGGTAACTTCAACGAAATTCCTTGTGTTTTCCTTCAGTAACTCAGGCGCAGTTTAATGCGCCGGCGCATTGCTAAAGTCTGTTCATTTCTATATGTTATTATACAATTAATAATTGTTAAGTTGAAATGTTTAAAATTGATTATTGCAATTTTAAACATTTCAAATAAATAGTTAAAATTATAATCTTCCAATATACTGGATGACCATCTGTACTGTCTGTAAAAATAGGGTGTAACATGTGAACGGAGTAGAATCTTATGGCACTGATATTTTACAAAAAATAAAAACAAACATTTTTAATTAAATAAACAAATTAATTAAAATTTTACGAAACACAAATCATATTTCACAATGTAGACGCTCACTAAGAATTTTACGATATTCCCATCAAAAAAAATTCTTCATATTTTACATCTAGGTTCCGCAATAAAATATTATCGTGCGCCCAGCGAAGCGAGCGGGTATCACTGTTAGTATGTATAAAATGTGTATTCAGTTGATAAATTACATATTCACAAACACAATATCATCATAACAATAAGTATATTTTATAATACTAGTACTAAATAGTATAAAGTAACATAATAATATTGTTAAAATAAAAACAAAGTATTTACATTTAAAAATGAACACATGAGCAACACATACTTCATATTGACCACGTCGCTGTTCTATTGTTTGCAAATGCAACTTCTGATTATCTGTTCCCGGGTTCTAATCCCAGGTTGGACCAAAAATCAGCTATTGTTTTTTTAATTTTATTTTATTTGGAAGACCAACAGCTATAATAACTAAGACAATACTTAATGTCTATAGTAAGCTAATTAAACGCCTGTTAACTAAAAGGGTAGGTACAGACTACGGACTTCCATTTGGCACGATCCTGACACATCTTTTTCGCTTCTTTCACAATCATAATATATCTACAGTCTACACATACATTCTCGTTGGTAGAGGGGACTATGCGGTACACTTAATCGGTCCATCTTCAATATTCACCATTTAGGTTTTTTTTCAAGTAAATATTTATAAGTATGGCACATGTAAATGTTACATAAGTCAAATAAGTATTAGATTATTATCAATTTTTTTACAAAATTCATTGAGAATTTAATCTTAAATTGCTGTGCACATCGTGCATTAATTGTGTACCTAAGTTTATTTTATGTATTGTCCTTTAGTAACTTAGGGACAGCTTACTGGGTCATTGCGTTTACTTAAAATTGCGCCATGGCACAACCAATTTATAAACACATGTGTCAAAATAAATTTGTCAAAATAAAACCGTGTGGTCAGTAAGTAAAATAAAATGTAGAAAAGAATGATTGTCGTCATATATTAGGTACTATGTATTACTCCTTTTACATTTCAAGAAATTTCAATTCATAAAATAATATAAAATAACAACTTCCCAGTCCTGCGCTGTGCGCCAACTCAGTTTGCAGAAGTGTGTTGATGCTGATGTGTTACTAAAACATCAGCGCAGTGTTACTAATGTCTATTTTGTTTCATAATGACTGACTCTTGTTAGCAGTTAGTGTATTAACGAGATTGGTGAATTAATCGATAACTTCTAATTGAATAGTTTGAATGTTTACACTTTCACTGAACATAGTAAAGAAATTCAATAGTAAAACAACAGCAATGAACTCTATGCATTAATAGTTGCTATTTTTCCACAGTATTAGTCTACACGAGAGTGCATCACCGTTGTCACATCAGAGCGCCTACAGCGTAGAACAGCTACTGGCCTGTCTAAACGCTCTAACGCAATGTTTTAATAAAAACCCAAATAACATCCTCTGCAGTGCTCTAGTGCTGGATGCTTTAATATCGTATCAACCACCGAACTTAGTGATTAGAGCCTGTACGGCCAATGCGTTGGCTCAGGTGTTAAAATCATGGCTGGAACTTCTTGTAGGTGTGTATGAATCTTTTAATGACAATCAAGTAGTTCTGCGAACTGGGTATCTGCTTATTCAATTTATGGTCATTAGCTTTAAATTACAACGAAATTTTTATTTGTTTATCATAAATCGAGTGCATACATATGCATATTAACAAGGTCGTCCATCATTTTCGAGGATATTTCAAAGGTAGAAAAAAATAAAGTGCTCACTATACTGCTCAAGAACGAATTATCCGTAGTTCACTTTTATTGTTTATATTTTTTGCAAAATAGATCAATCGATGTCTATATATAGTATTGGAGTTGTGAAGGACTGTAATGATGACGGTGATGATGACATCAACGATGTATAAAACATGCAGGTTGACTTTGATATTCTCAGTATACATTTTTAGGTTCTTGCTTCAGTACGCGAGCCACCCGGACTCGATCTTTAATTACACCAATGAAATTGCTAATTGCAATTTTAAGTGCTCGTTTACCATTGGTTTAGCGGTATAGGAACCCCGAGGAAATCTAAATAAATATTTTGAGGACATGTGAAATCCGACCGTAGACAATGAGTAACTAACTTTATTTCATAGCTACAAAGATGTAGCTTATTGGGGAAAACTGCTGAATTTACAGTGTTTTATAGATTTCAGTTATTTTCTAGTCTAAGGTTCCACATTATCTATTGATTTAAAATAATTCATGACAATGGGTGTGCAAATAAACTCGAAATGTCAGGAATTTTTTGGTTTTTCAAGATGTAAAGAAATTTGGCGTTTACTGATTGCACGATGCTATTCTACGCTAGTTTCTTGTGAAAGATAGCTACTTCCCTGGTCGAGCATAATACATCAGACTAGTGGTGTTATTATACCGAGTAAGAAATAAGTCAACTCAAAGAATTCTGAAAAAATTCCTTTGTTTTCTTTTTTGGTGGGCTCCCTTTTATTTTTTCTTTGGGTGGGGGGGTTTGTTTTTTTTTGGTGTGTGCCCCCTTCTACTCTGGTTGTGGTACCCAATGCTGGCGAATGTTGGCGAATTTCACATGTCTTCGAAATATTTTTTTTCTTATTTCTCTGACATGCAGGTTTCCTCACGATGTTTTCCTTCACCGCCGAGCACGTGATAAATCAGCACTTAAAATTGCAATTAAAATTTTATTGGTGCCGTCGGGGATCAAAACCCAGTTTGCTCGTGTACTGTGAAATTTACAGCGAGCGCTAACCATCTGAGCTACCACGGCTCTTATCTCATCTGTCAGACTCGCACACTATCACAATGTGCATGTACACGTTCAACCACGTGTAAAGACCGCTAGACTTCGTGAAATGCAAGATATATAAAACTTGTATTATTAATTATAGGTGCGTTGAACCACGCAGTCCTTGTTGACGACAACGGTATGTCGGGAATGTTGCTCGTAGTGACTTCACAGATTGGAATGGATGTTCTCAGGTCAGTTTTTGTATTTTTATTATAATGAATTAATTATGTATATTATCTGAGTATCTGAATTTGTGTTGTACTAGATCACAATATAAAAACTATCAACGCCTACGGTTGAAATTTCAACTTTTAAATTTTTTGCTCTATACAATTTGAAGGCGCTATTTTTTTTTTTTTTTTTATAAAAAAAGGGCGTATCGGCGGGGTTTTCCGGGGGGGGCTTATATTATTTTTTTCTTGTTTTGTGTTATTTATATAGTATTTTTCTTGTTACCGTTACACACTTGATCTAAATTTTAATTCTGTTACACGAATTTTGATACTCAAAGTAAAAAACCGTACAAAACAAATCCTTTTTTTTGGTTAATATACTACCATATTTACTATCAATTTTGGGATAATTAATGTGATGATAATAAAAACTCCAAAAATACAAATAAAATAGTACATTACTCTGTGTTATAAATTTATTGTTCTACATGTCAGGTTAGAAAAATTGTTAGGTCAAGGTAACCAAGGTACAGACTTCATTCAAAGCATATTAACTGACGATCAAGAAATAAATGCTTTAAAGGAATCCGCTTCGGAGATGAAAACTTGTACACTGCGTGTGGCATCAGAGTTAATTGTTTTTGTAAAGGTGAGGTTTTTATATAATATAATAGTGACAAACAATTTTAGAGTTCCCTTAATGGTGAGTGGTTACTGAAGTCCATGTGTACCTGCAACCAACTGCGTTCTCGTTATAATCATATTTATCATTACAGCCCTTCACAAGTCCTCTGCTAAACAAAGCCACCTCTCCCCCACCAAGGAATGGCACAAAGCACGGTCCAGAGAAACCTGCATCCAGCGACCTTCAGCATGTCTTACCAGTTATCATATCATATAGTATCAGTCCAGCTAGTTAGTGGACGCCCTATACTCCGTCTACCGGTACGAGGCTACCACTCGAGAACCTTTCTTCTTTATCAGGTCGGAGAAAATGGTTTACGCCCTGATATTAAACTAGATTTCTTACTCTTCGAAGGGGAGCACAGCAGTAGGCGCGCTACTGGTTGATCGCAGAAGTGATTAACAGGATGGAATTATTTCCGTAAGGAATGAGTATTTGTATGACCTGCAAGTATTGGTTCTAGGTCTGGATATTAGTCCATGTACAATCTACGTGTGTAAAATGAATTCATGATACCTAAGAAATCCCTAAAGTAGGGATCACTTTAATATAACAAAATAAAACAAACCTAAACGGGTACTTGGCATAAAAGAAGCGCTTTCTCCCAGACAGGACTTTTCCAAGCCTCTCCTTATCGCCGGTCATTAATAGATTCTATATATAGCATTATGTCGTATGTTATTTTGCTATGGTGACACGCGACTGACACTGAAATTATATTTATTTTACGGAAGAGGACCATTAGAGCAATATATAATTTAAAACCAAAAGAGCCACTGAGACAAAAATTTAAGGAAATTAATATATTAACTCTGGCCTCTCAACAATACATTTATGAAAATGTAATGTACGTACACAAAAACAAAAGTAGTTTTGCAAAAATAAGTGATATTCATTCTGTAAATACTAGGAACAGACACAAGCTAGTAGTACCAGTTACTCGACTCCACCGAGTCAGTAATGCATTCTTGGGGCGATGTATACGCTTTTACAACAAAATCCCAGAAAATATACATTATTTGTCATACACAAAGTTCAGAAATGTTATTAAACTAAGTTTGTATAAAAAGGGTTATTATAATATTAAGGAATTTATGGATGATAATAATCCCTGGGAAGGGTGATCGCTACCAAGCTATTTTTAATTTGTCTTGTGTTGTTAATTGTAAACATGATTGTAAGCTATTATCGGAAAAAAAAATAGTCCCGCTGAGTTTCTTGCTGGTTCTTCCCAGGACGGAGGTTTTTTTTGCGAACCAGTGGTAAATGAAAAAAGTGACTTTCAATAAGTATTGTTTATAATCTACATTGAATAAAAAAGTTTCTGTTTCTATTACTAAGTATATGTATTATCGCCACACACCATTCAAAAATCATCAGTTATTATGTATTTATTAGATTTCAATAAGGGATATAGTACCAGTACCGCGACAGTACGTTTTAAATTTAAAAATAATGTTAACAGGATTATCAAGATCAAATCAATACAGAGGAATACAGCATGTTCTTAAAGTTTCTGCTCAATTTCCTTCAACATAACACAAACTCTTATACCTTGTCGGAATTCTGTGATACACTCTTTGCTAAAGGTTATTTAACGATGCTGCCCAAATGTCATATAAGGAGGTATTACTTGTTCTTTAGTATTCGAACGATTTTTTACCAGTTAGTAAGTGATGAAATATATGCAGCATAAAACTCAAATTGTTAAAAGTATCAAAGCCACGAATGTTTGTTTTGATCTTCGTTCAACTGTATCGTAAGTCTTAAAAAAAATCTACAGTAATAAAGTCACATACGAGCAAACAGCTCACCGAATGGTAAGGGTCTTAAGCGGCTACTGCAGTCCGAAGACACTGCAATCAATCATTCAATCATCTATAAACAAAGAAGGTCAAACATGTGTTGTAACTCCTAAAACTAAACCAAACTTGTATCACATATAATACTTTTTATTTCGTGATAGAGCCACGTCACAGCTATATTATAGTTGTAGCACGAATGGCTTAGCTCGACCAGGAATGGAACAAACTCTCACAGAATACCTGTGTAAAATAGTAGCATAATACTGCTGTGTTTCGCATGGTGAATATTGAGAACGGGAGGCCCTTTTTACTGGAAACGTGGCATTCCATCTCAGTCCACAGGGGTAACAACGCATCTGCATTTTGATTCTTAATCGAGAATAGATGTAGATTTCTATGGGCCACAAAATCCACTTACTATCAGGTAGACTGTGAAAAAAATTCGTATCAGTACTAGTCTATGAAAGTTCATTTCTGGATTTGGTTTAATCTTGGTTAAACCAAATCCAGTTGTGGTTTCACTTGGTAGGCGGATAAGATAATGCAGAACTCATTAGTTACAAAAAAAATTATGATTTCTGTTCACAAATTAAAATTATTTTAAAATTATTTATTTACCTACTTGGTTTATATTGGTAAAAAATTTCAAAAGCATCATTTTAAATGTTAGTCTAACATCATCTAATTGGAGTTTCAAGAATTTACATATTTCTGAGTATGAATATAGAAATTGAATGATATAAACCAGTAAGAAGAAAGCATATTCATCCCTTTATTCAATTAAAATTTGCAGAAACGATTCAAATGTTCGCAAATTAAGCACACTAATTTTAGGGGAAATGCTAATAGTACTAGCCAAGAAATATCTAGTGAATGAAACAGAGAATAACGAAATGTGCGCCGAACAAATTCATGTAAGTTTAGATATAACATTTGTAAACATATGCAAAAGTGTAAGTGTTTAAACCGCTCTGTAGACATCATGACTAGGTACACATTATTACGCGGTAAAATATTCTTTATTATACACTAAAGGAACATAGGGTGCGTTTGGCAGAAAAAAGCGCTAGCAAGCGCTTACAAGCGCTGAAATAGTTTTCGGCCAGGACACGATTACTACTTCAGTAGCGCTGACACAATCCGCCATTTTGCTTATTTAATTTGTTTGTTTTGAAATAGAGTTTATAAGTTGTTTTGTGCCATATTAGTTTTAAGTAATATAATAACGTGAATAAACATATACATGTTATTAAAAATTCATGATTGGTAAGTTTTTAATATGAATACTTTACAAACATATATTTAAATTAGGTTAGGTTCCTCGGTTAAAACTAACATCGTGTCCTGGAGGAAAATAGCTACTTACGATTTGACAGCGTTTACCGCTTACGATCGCCATTTTGCTTATAAGCGCTTGCTAGCGCTTTTTTCTGCCAAACGCACCCATAGATTAATTTAACAGGAATATACTAATGTTGCATTTAAACTCTGATTCTTTCATGAACATGTGGTTTAGTAGTGGTATGTGTGAACGCGTTTAAGGATTGATATTCACGAATATCACTATGGACAGAAACTTCGATCAAATTCTGTATACTAACGTCTGACGATGCTCAAATGAGGTTCTTATTTTTTTTTGGGTTTTCTGCCTAAAATCTTTTGGCGTTAATTCCATTTTTGCTACGGATGTCGAACTTCAACTTATGATGAAAACAATTGACACACGACATCCCGACAAATTTATTTTAAGCAATTTAGGTAATTCGTTTGTTTGTTTTGTGGTGTTTTAAAAAACATAACATTCGAAATTTAAACATTTATGAGCGGTCGTTAGCGTAGGTACTGATTGTGGGGATTCAATCCTATTTGGGTTTTTGTATCAGCAGCCTGGAGTCAGGTAGTTGGCAGTGTTTCACGCCTTTGTCTCGGAAATCGAAAAACTTGTAGTCGTTGGTCCTGCGCCTGATCGTTCCCCGGTCGTGTCGAATTACCGTCCCATTGGACTATAAGAGTGAGGGAATAGAGAGTGCATTAGCGTTTGCGTCCACACACGTGCACTATAATCCTGTCCTGTCTGAACGGAAACTAGCCATCTGCAAGGACAGGATTATAGTGCCCGAGCGGTATGGGCAATCACAGCTGCATACTTTACTTTCGCAATCTCATAGTCTGATGGGACCTTAATCCGACACAACCGAAGATAGATCAGGCGCTGATTATTAGTCTCCATTAAGACTGGCTGCGTGACCGAAATTTGATCTTAGAGGACAATATACAAATATTGGGGGAAAGCAAAGGCGGCCTTATTACTACACGAAATTACTTCCAGAATATCCTCATAAATAATTAAATTAAAAGTAAAGTAAAGTAAAGTTACAGCCTATATACGTCCCACTGCTGGGCTCAGGCCTCCCCTCATTTCTGAGAGGGTTTAGGGCGAGGAAGTGTCCGCCGCGCTGCCCAAATGCGTGTTGACGAACTTCACATGTCTTCGAAATATTTTTTTTTCTTATTCCTCAGACATGCAGGTTTCCTCACGACGTTTTCCTTCACCGCCGAGCACGTGGTTAATCAGCACTTAAAATTGCAATTAACAATTTCATTGGTGCCGGCGGGGGTCGAACCCGGGTTACTCGCGTTCTGTTATATTTACAGCGAGCGTTAACCACTGAGCTACCACGGCTCAATTAAATTAAAGGCGAAAAAAATTAACATAGAGTGCATTAAAATAATAAGCGGATCGCCTACTGGTAAATGTCAACCGTCGCTTATGAATAAATGCAACACCTGGGGAATAGTTTCTAAGCATGATCAACATTACAAGTCATCGCTAGTCCAGTGCTGAATATAAGCTTGCCCTAAATGTCTAGGTAAGATTCACCAGTACGGTTCTAATTCAAATTGAAATGACAAACGAACCTACAGGCCAACTGATAGTAAGTAGCTACAGTAACTACAGTCCTTTTACACCTGCAGTTAACTTAAAATAAAGAAGTTAACGTTAGAAGCATAATATGCTGATAGAAATGTTGCTTACAATTGTTGCGACTACAACATGTAACATAATTAACGCACTTTGAGAAAGTAGTTTGTTGAGAATCGTTTACTGAATCGATTTCTATGATTTTTAATATAGGTAATTTTTTATTCCCAAAAATAATTAAAACTAAGTAAATTACAGTCACACTAAATTTGTACAGTCAAAACAAACTGAAATGGACCGTAACTTGAGGCAATAAGATTAAGAGTGCAGTTTTATTTGTAATATTACTAATTCTCTCATTCAATAAAAATAAAGAAAAATGAACTTTATTTCAAGCACCTTAAAGTCCTTGCGTTCGTGGATTTGTACTGTGACCAAAACATTCTTCCGGAATTAGTATAACTAATTTGACAAATAATTAATGCATAAAAATATTTAACTAAAATTCAGTGTATGCATTTTGAATATAACATAATATACTAATTGGGGTGTCTGAGGGTGTGCATTAATTATGTTACATATTGTATATGCAGTAAGGTTCGCAACCGCAGTTTTTATTGAGTTCCAGGAAAATGCTGTGGCTCCTCTCCAGTGACATCGATAGTTATTATATGATCAACAATTAAGGTGCCTCGTACATTTTGTAATAATTATTTATAATAGAAGGCTACTCGTGTGTGCAGTGTCAGAATATGCACTACCCTGTGGGTGTTGCAAGAAGCAACGGAGGGAAACGAATTAGAAGAGGAGCAGTAGCGTCTTTCTAATAACGACTAAAAACAAAAGAACTGCGTTTGCAACCCGCTTCACAAGCGTGGCAACTACGGCAAATATACCCCTTGTGACACAATCTATGGGAGGAGGCCTACGTTCAGCAGCTGACTTTAATAAGAAAGAAAGAAAGAAAGAAAGAAAGGTTTATTCTCCAAAATGACGCCATCACAGATAACATAAAAAAACACATAATTTATAAATAATATTGGCTATACAATACAAATTACAATATACTACATATTAGAAACTATACAATACCTATACTAGTATGTGTCAAGGCGTCATCTGAGAACAGGAGCACACTCAGCATAATGCCATGAATTTTTTTTTCCATGGCGCTGATTTTCAGTGTGTCCAACCAGTAACTTACCGAAATCAGTGCTACATGTATACACATTTTATTATGTTTTAAACAAAATTATGATAGAATTATGCATAACAAGGGGGAAAGAGACAGTAACTATTTTAAGTGAGAGGGAGAGAGTAGCGTTCAAGGTCGAATGCCACTTCGACACAGCACGTCCCGTTTACCGTTTATGTTGCTTTCAGATGCTCTTAGAAGGTCTATAAGGGCAAGGGAAGGTATATAATAGGCTGTTACGGTAATATGATGCGGTAATATAGGTGGCCAATAATATTATATCTCTGTTTAAGATAATCTACGATAACCTGTTGAATTATATTACGACTCTTTTTTTCCAGTACGGTTTAGTGGAGTTGCAATACGGAATGGAAAGGCCTCAAAACATCGGGGAGCAATTACAAAAGAGCCATCCTTACAGCTTGCTAATTTACACATACTTTTACTGTCAATCTTCGGAGAAGTATTTTAAACTAATCTTTTTTATTATCTTCTATCTAAAATTTATGTTTGTTCGTATTTTACGCGCTGCCATACCGTTCATTAGATTGCGGTAAAATTTTGTCAACTTTTTACTTGCGCGAAGGTTATAGTCATAGTACAATTAATTTAAAGTAGTAGTAGTGACGCTTGTATTGAACAGAAAAATTTATTTGAAGGTTGTATATCATCATCATTATCGTTCCTAATTAAAAAATATAACTCTTCAAAATTTAAAACGATATTTCTACATATATTTCTTCTGCGGCAGCAACGCGCCGATAGACTAGCTAGTTTCTTATAAAATTTAGCCTAAGAGTTTATCTGCGATGGTATATTGTTTACGCCCTTATGTCCGTATATATCCTTACGTCCGGTTATAATACTGTGGGCAAAAAATAGTAAGACTTTGTTCATAATTTTAAAATTCTTTATTTATTCTGCCAAATCTATTTCGTCCCCCTCAAAGTAATCCCCCTCGGCCGCAATACACTTATGCCAACGTTTTTTCCAATCCTCGTAACAGTTGTTAAAGTCAATTTCCGGAATAGCCTTAATGCGCGTAGCGATTCACGTTTAATGTCTTCAATTTACTCAAAACTCTTTCCCCGGAGCGGTCGCTTGAGTTTGCTGAACAGCCAGAAGTCGCACAGAGCTACATCTGGCGAATACGGTGGTTACCACCAACCTACCAATCATGCATTCACTTTTCTTAGGCCCAAATGATCTTTTAAAATGGTTTTCACTGATTCTTCCGATATTTCAACGATATCAGTAAGGTCTCTGACTGTTAATCGTCGATTCTCGAGCACCAATTTCTTGATTTTATTGACGTGTTGATCATCAGTTGATGTTGATGGCCGTCCTGGACGTGGTTCGTCGTCAACGCGTTCTCGACCCTCTTTGAATAATTTGTACCAATCAAAAACACTTGCTCGCGACATACAATTATCACCGAAGGCTTTTTGCAACATTCTGAACGTTTCGGCACCAGAAATTTGATTCCGCACACAAAATTTAATGGAACTTCTTTGTTGAATAATTTCACTCATTGTAAAAATCGCCGAATGCACTTTTTGTACTTCAGAAAGACAAGCGTATACTAAACGGCGCCTCTACACGTTGGCCAACACAGTGGCGAATGTAGTGGCCAATAGCATTGGCTAACGTGTAGACGGGGTGTTTGGGCTTCATTGGTATGTATTGGAACGATGGCCCGCAAGTTGGCGCGAGATCCGTGTGGTGTCGGTTTTTTACAAAAGATCAAAGGATTGTTGGCAGAGTTTGGTCGCCGCGTCCACACGTTGGCCGCGAGT